AGACTTATGTGTTAGCGATGAGGCCAATTTGAATGAGCAAGTGTCTTTAAGGGCACGGAGTGATAAGATATTATGCTGTACTTTGTGGATAAACAGCTACGTAATCTAAAGCAAATTTTGTCAGCCAAATTTTGCTGTTTTTGAAAGTTTCAGACCTAAATGAATTTCTTGGCAAATTGAACACTCAAATAATAGCCTTCTACTTCATACTTTTGAGCTACATTTCTATCATTATCAACAACTTTTTTCTGCATCTAACTCAATCGAGCGAAAGTCCTTCCGAATCTTAGCATACCGATAGAGTATCGCGGTAAAGTGATTATCATGCGTCTCTAAGAGTGAAACATTTTCCACTTAACCGCCCGATATAATCTACCAGAACTAATTTTCGTAATTTTAACTTTGGAAATGTTTACTCACAAGGGAATGCTTTTTACTCGAAGTGGCCATTCAAAACAAGATATGGGAAACTCAAATCTGTCTTCCATATCTGCGAAACGGTTTTCTGGAAGAAGATATCGGCACTTGTTTCCATGAGGCCACCTACAATAAGGAGAATTTGTGCAACGTACTATGAGTGCTAGGATGATGCAATGGTAAGTGCTTTGGTTTGCAGGTGTGCGATGCAGGTTCGGATCCTGTCGACGGGAAATGTTTTGCTTTTTTTGTAATTACCTGTTATTGCTAGAGAAAGCTTTACTAACTTGTTGATTTATTATCCAAAGTCAAGCTAAACCAATAACTAGATGTTAATTTGAAATTATTTTCACCATGAACATATGTGATAGTCGTCTATAAAGAGTTAGAACATAAAAGCTGCTCACAGTCACATCGAAGGAGATGTTCATCGTCGCAATTGTTTGCACTGCAACGTCCTATGAGATCAGGAGGAAAGCACTGAGCAGTTGTTTGGAAGGGGAAATGCTCTTATCATGATATAAATATTCATGACTATTATATAGTCAAATTAAGTGTTTTTTCAAGATTTATCAAGCAACTATACACTATTGCAAAAAACGCAATATGTCCACCGACAACAGGATTCGAACCTGCATCGCACACCTGCAAAGACACTTACCATCGCGCCATCCTAGCACCTAAAGTACTCCGTATTGTAAGTGGCCCCATGGAAACAAGTGCCCATATCTTCTTCCAGAAAACCGTTTCGCAAATATGGAAGACAGATTTGAGTTTCCCATACCCAACTTGTTATTATGGTATATATCTTGTTTTGAATGGCCACTTCGAGCAAAAAGCATTCCCTTGTTAGATGATCGCGCCGCAGCTACTCCCTCTCTGATTTTTCTTAGAACTGGGAATCGAATTTAAAAATGATAAATTTAGGTATACGTCAGTACTTTCCGGATCGTTCACCCGATCCTCACTGCATACTTTCGACAACACCAATAGTCTTAGTGAGACCATTACTTCCAAAACGGCCAAAAAGAATTCTCTTCATAAGGACCGCCCCGAGGTCGCTGGATTACCGCAAATTTATAAGAGAAACTTGGAAGCCACAAGTAGGTAATCAAATTAGAAGAACTGCATTTTACCTTAGACTTCCCAAATAAGTTTTGGCCATCATGATTGATCACATAGACTGTATTGTTACAGGTTGAGCCGATAGCACCAGTCATTTTTGTTTCCGCCAAAGGGGCAGACATAGAAGCAGAAGCTAGCCAATTCCAAGGAACTAGTTACTTCCTCTAATTTGACTATCAACAAGAAAAGCAGTCTTTCAGACATACTACAATTTGATTTTATCGACTCCTACCATAATTTGTCACTGAAAATGATGGCAATTTATGGGTATGTATTAGGAGAAGTGCCATCTGTGGAGAATATTATCATTACCAATGACGACACTGTTGTAAACGCCACAGCACTCACTCAGGTATCTGAGCTGTTAGCTTATAAAATATAAGTATAATAATATTCCTTAGCTTCATCTCAACAAAAGAAAAGGGTCCTGGATGCTAGGCAAAGTATCTCGCGGTTATCCGCGCTTGTTCATGCCCTGGTTACCTTGGCATGTCCCAGGACATATGTATCCAAACCTATGCTATCCACGATTTACGCAGGTCTGCATTTATATAGCAAACATATGATCAGCGGAACTATAAAGAAGGCGTTCTGCCATTGATTCAGGGGTCTTCGTTCATCTTATCGCGATCCGCAGCTCAACTTCTATTAGACAATATCTGCAAAACTCCTTTTGTTCATCTTGATGACATTCTCATGGGTAAGTCAATTCTTCAAATTTTTTTAGCCTACTGGCAAATATACACTTCTAGGTATAATAGCTTCTTGCGCTCGTCTTCAATTGGTGCATCACGACGGTTTTGACAAGCACACGTTTGAAAACTTTGTCGTCTACCACTACCAGTACTCTCGACATTCACCTTCGCATTTACAACAACTTTGGAATTCGTTGAACGCATCTTCCACATAATCATAAAGAAATGTGAAAAGCTCCAAAGCTTAAAACATTGCAAATAGCGCAGAATCTTCCAAAACTTGCCGTAGAAATTCTCAAGTCAATGCAAACTTGGTATCTCGGCAAAACGCTTGTTCACTATTTCAAACATCTATAGACAAGCCCGATGTGCACATACTTGAGCACCAGAATGTTCGGCAAGGAGTAAATGTATGGATTAGTCAGGAAATAAACTGCGAAATAACATTGTTTAAAGTCTTTTTAAGTCAACTTTCGTGACCAGTGTTGAATGCGCATTCAAAATCAAATGTAAGCGTAGCTAAGCTGTGCACTACCTTATAAAACAGATTATAATTTGCACTTTGAAGTAGCTGACGATGGCAGCGAGAGAGATGCAAGCGAGCTCCTACTCAAACAGCACGCGCTCACTTTTATTTTTTTCTAATCTGCGAATCTGTAAGCAAGCAGTTTCAGGCTAGCCTTACCTAAAGCTTTACTTCTTCTTGCAATGCTGCTGCGACAAATCTTATTAGTGAAGCATTCATATGATTAGTTGTATCCAAATGACATAATAAATCCCCTATAAAGAATAAACAAACTTTTATCTTTAACAGTCAAATGATAAAAGTCACAACAACAAAAACTTAGCGATTGGACTTCGCTACACGTTCGAGTTCGTCCTTCTTCTTGATGGCATAACTGTTCGAAGAACCTTTGGCAGCATTGATGAGCTCATCAGCGAGACACTCAGCGATCGTCTTGATATTTCGGAAAGCAGCTTCACGTGCTCCAGTGCATAATAACCAGATAGCCTGCAAGGTGCATACAATAACGTAAAAATGAGAAAAAAACAATTCTATCAAGAGAAAAAAACCCTGAATGAAGACAATATACCATACATCAAAAAGTAAAATATGCATATGAACTAACCTGGTTGACACGTCGTAAAGGAGCCACATCAACAGCTTGTCGCCGGACGGTACCGGCGCGTCCAATACGGGTGGAGTCTTCCCGAGGACCACTGTTAATTACTGCGTTTACGAGCACTTGTACTGGATTCTATAAAAGCTAACATACTATATACTGTGTGATGATTGGTAAGAACAAACCTCTCCGGTAAGCAAGTGGATAATTTCAAAAGCGTGCTTCACAATTCGTACGGTCATCAGCTTCTTTCCGTTGTTACGTCCGTGCATCATCATAGAGTTGCACAAACGCTCAACAATTGGACATCCAGCCTTGCGGAACCGCATGACCTATAGATTACAAAAATTGGAACATCAAACAGACATATTTAACTAGTATTATCTACCTGGTAACGTCCAGCTGAGTGAGGGAGATACTTAGCGCACTTGTCCTTAACAGCGATGTAGTCGACAAGGGTGATGTCGGATACATTCACGTCTTGCAGCGACCATTTTCCGAACAATTTCACCTAGAAGATTATAATATTAAAGATGTAAAAACGAATTTAAAAAAAAATATTGAAGTACGCCTCTGCACTAACAATAAGGTAAAAATGAAGTAACAAGAACGCCTATAACTAAAGGATGCAATGGTGTAGCCTGGTCAAAGGCATCCAAATCAAATGGGAAAAGATGAGCAGTAAGTACCAACAAACAATACCATTTTCAAAACTTTTCAAAAAGTTAAAAAAAAAACTGGCTGGGATTGTTAAGCTTGAATACTATTGGAGATAACTTCCAAAGGCAAGCTATATAAACAATAAAACAAGGTAAATGAATGCACCAATCTCAATCTTGGCAGAATTCCCGGAAATTTTTAAAAAATACTCAGTAACAAAGTCTTAAGAAAGCTTGACTGCAATTCCCTGTTCAACAATTCTCGCAAACGTGAGAAAGGAAAAAAATACAAACCTCTGGCATTTCCATCGTGGGGACTTCAGCCACACCTTCCTGTTCAACTTGTATAGCCCAGTCATCAGCCATTTTGCCTGAAGGTTCGCACAAAGGTTTCAACATTTTAGCTGAGCACCTTCGTCCAGAAGGCAGCGACAATAATGCATGGAAAATGGAATTCCCAACATACACGAAAAAATAACAAAGCATTCTATCATCTATAAAGCGTAGTTCTTAAAGGAGTTCAATGAGCCAAGCTGTACTACCATCATAGAAAATTATATGATATAAGTGATTAGCAAGCTAAAACCAAAAAACTACTACAACCTCCTCTAATGGGCAACAGTGATAAAAACATCGATCATTCCAGATCAAATAATACATTTCTATTTGTGTGGGAAAAGGAATACTCGTAAAGAGCATTCAAAATTTTAGGCCAGCCGTCTCTTATTTGCAAACTAAAGGTCTCAGTTGTTCTTCGGTACAGTAGTTCCAATGAGTTCGCTGCAGGAGATCCTCAGATATGAACACTCGGCCTCTTCATGAAACGGACCAATAGGAGCGTCACACGACACAACGAGGCGTGTCATATCGTGTTCACGTTCACTTCCGAGTCGGGGCCAGCCGAGGTCGAGCTCTTTTTCGCTTGCCCCCGTTCTAGGAAGCGTGATGTTCCCATTAGTACTGCTATGTGAGTTTTTGCAGATTAGTTGCTGTCATATTCGAGTTTGCATTCGTGATTACAGCTAACTTCTTAGTCTTTTTCTCTTCAGTTGTACCAGCGTGCCTTGCACTTTACACTTCAAAGGATGATGTTGTGGAGTTGACTTCTACGAATTTTCAAAATAGGGTAATCAACAGCGATGAGATTTGGATTGTGGAATTCTATGCTCCATGGTTCGTTTACATAAACATTCCTTTGAATTTTAGGGTTTTGACATGGAGTCATTACAATTTTATAGGTGCGGCCACTGCAAAAATCTTGCTCCAGAGTACAAGAAAGCCGCAACCGCTTTGAAGGGCATCATCAAGGTGCAGAAGTTATCTTTGGATTTGATGACTATAGAAATAAAATCCAATTCAGGTTGGAGCTGTGGACATGACCCAGCACCAATCGGTTGGCGCTCCATACAATGTCCAAGGATTCCCGACTATCAAGATTTTCGGAGCTGACAAGAAAAAACCTACTGATTACAACGGTAAGTTGCATGCTTACCCATAATTACATTCAATTCTTTCTTCTTTACTTTCTTCTTACTTTTGATTTTGAGAAGGATTAGAAGCTTGCTCCTTCCACGATAAAATTGCACAGGAACAGAAGACTTGACAAGCATTACATAGGCTTGACAATTACTCAATGGATCATTCAGCTCAATCAGTTTTTCTTAGTACTTCGCGGAAGCTATTCCTATAGATCTAGATCGTCCGCAGGCTAATACGATAGACCGTTCTAATTGTTTTACGTCCTCGGACGTCGTCCTCCCCAAATATTTGTCGACGAAGGTCAACGATTGATGGTGGCCGACCATGTGCAAATAGAGTTCGGTCAATGAAATCATTGATGATATCTGTCTGTTTTATTGCAGTAAGGCGGCAGGGCAAGAAGCTGCAAAGACTTGCCGCCTATGCCTTTGGGATAGCCTAAGGGACTTCGGACCTCCTCGCGCCTCTAATTGC